TCCGCAATTCCCTGTGGTCTTTCGCACACAAAAGGTCAATTCTGTGAGGGGGTATTGATTTTCTCGCACGTCCCGCTGCAAAGCGATCGGCTAAGACCTCCTTTATCGCTATTAATTGTTCATGAAGCAGTGAACACTGCTTCATGACACAGTGCGCTCGCTATTAATTGTTCACGAAGCAGTGAACACTGCTTCATGACACAGTGCTTCAAGCCCGTTTCAAGCTCAACCTCTCGTCGAATGCATCTGTCCTTGGGTAACTCGCATGTCACAAATTCAGATAGCACGTCCTTGAATTTGATCAAATCCTTGTGTAAAGGATTTGACTGAAGTAACTGCCAAGATTGAGACGTGTATCGCTCAATCCGAGTCTTCTCATCGAGAACACCTTCGTCCATCGATGATCTGCTAAGAGCCCATTTGTTCCCGGTAAATACAACTGCCAACCAGATGTCCGTCACGTTATCGTCATCCGTGAGGAGAACACAGATCTGCTTGACTTTGAAGCTACGCAATTCTCGCAAGAACCGTTTCGGCTCTAGAGTTTGCAGTTGTGTGATCTCCAAAGTCAACTTCGGAGGCGCAATCAGATCAAGTGTATAAGTGCCTACACTTGACCCGTCATTAACCAAGACATTCAACGTCTCGGATTCATTATGTGAACCCTTTCTACAGGCTGATGGAGACTTATTCCCTTAGGTTAATGAGGTCTTGCTACCTTATCAATAGCTGCTCGAGGAAGTTATTCCTCTAGCACATGGGGACTTATTTCTCTAGCGTCTACTAGCTGTAGTTGCGCTACCACAGCTAGGTCCTCTACTATCTGATCCCCAGCCGATATAGGACCATAGTGTTACCCAGGGTAAACAACCAGTTTACTCTTCCTTGGATGTCGTCCGCTAGGCGTATGCTCATTATCCGATCCACTCGACTACTTTGAGTGGTGGACCTTCGGCGCTGCCTGTGCATCCGCACAGACGCCGGCAGCTCACTCTACAGTGTGATTGGTTGTCACAATGTGATCTTGAGCAGTCTTACTAGCGACCTTACCGCAAGTGAGTGCGACGGCCTCACTTGCAGTACACCAACACGCTTGTGGAAGCTTCACTGCGTTCATCAGATGTCCGCCTGATGAACAAGTGGCAGGCATCTCCACGGTTCAATGCTGCTAGCCGACCCTTAGATCGTAAGTTTGAAACAAGGCAAAACTAGAATTACATCAAACTTGTCATCCAAATCAAGTACGATGAAATCGTCATTGGACTGCAAATCTTCTAGCGTGTAATGAAATACCACCAAAAAATAATTGAAAGTTATCGATGCGTCTATTGCTAGGCGCATTGTCATCCTCGTCGGAGGGGTATCGCACTCAACAAAACTGAGCCTACCATATACTAGCAATTTGTTTGACGGCCTACATTCTACTAGGGCACGTAGTGACAAATCTTCTGTCCCTTTTCAACTTCGAGGTGATGAGGCGTACCTCATCACCAAATGCAGAGACACAAATTGATTGTAAGTCTGGAGAAACTTTCATCAGGAGATTTGTAAATTCTCTTGAGCTTGCTGGATCAACAGGGCGCTCCGCTCCTACTGATCCTGACCTTTTTTTTCGGTCCGCTACGCTGTTGCGATTTTGCAACAACGTTGGACACACGACGCTACCCTCCTTGACAAATAGTCGAATAGTTTGCTCATTGTTTCGAGACACTGGGCGTAGGGCGCTACACTCGTGAGTGTAGAGTACTAACTTCTGACAGCGATTGCAGAAATACAATCTCTTGTTGGATGAAGAGCAAGGTATCTCGCTCTTAACACAACTGAGGTCCATAAGTTCTGAACCTTCGACTGCTTGTCGTCATAGAAACTTTTATGAACCTGAACTAGCATTAGCCTGTCTCAATCTAAACTCTTCCTGTTCTGCAACTGATATCGCTTGTTCTAGCGTATCCAGTTCCAAAAGGAACAGTTGAGTCTTGACAGGACCATCAGCAAGATCCTGCATAAACACAGTGATCAATGTGTGTTCATGAACCGGATTGGCCGTGATACAACTTGCAAGGAATCGTTTGTGTTGGGCGTAAGTGTGCAAATCACGCTTACCCTGGTTGAGTTTCAAGAGCTCTGATGAAGCCCTAAACTCAGGCCTTGGTGGTTCAAAAGTTTGTCTGAGCCGAGTCTTGAAGTCCTCCATCGGCTCAAACACATATGGGTCGTGCAAATTTAGCCCCAGTGCCCAGGTTTTGGCACGTCCATCCAGGTTCAACTAAGCAAATGCAAGTCGCATTTGCTCATCGACGATGTGACAAGCCCTTATGGCGTCGTCCAAATCAAAGAACCATCTCAGCAGGGAGTCTTGCTCGACTACTATGTAATTTTAGATGTCTATCATCGAAATTTCGGGTCGACGCGATTGCGTTGCCCCGTAACAGCAGCATGTGCCTGCTGTTGTCTCATTAGTTCGAACCGCTGAGCCTATGTTCTATCAACAGCTGCACCAGTTAAGAACCTTGCTGTTAAAGCAAGGTTACTTTCTACCGTGAATCGTCAAGTTCATGTTATATGAACTTCGCGGCCGCGGCATACTGCCCATATCTGTCCAGTGTGGACAGCATGGCAGAGACGGCATGTTCGCCCACGGTCAAACCTATTTGTTCGACAGCAATCCAATCGATGTTACTCAAAGAGGAGCAGCTTTCACGCGTCGCTTAAAAGCTGTCACCGTCATTATGCAACTTGTTCATGTTGAGTGAAGGGGTTGCGGTCCTTGAACGGACTAGAATGTGCTACCAGGTGTAACGGGGCACTGACCAATAGTAATGCTTCAGTACTAGTGCACCTACAATGACGACAGTGTAGGTAGTGCCTCACGTCACGTCCTGTACACCGTACGTATAGAGGAAGGCTAGCTAGTGGACGACGCGTTCAATAGGAGTAGAAAGTAAAACTGTGCTAAATATAATTAAGTCCTTATTACATGTACCTATGCTTTAGTCCTAATTGAATTATGTTTATCCACAAAAGTGTATACTACAGTCTTGCTCGCCACTCATTGCGCGCGTCCGTCGTTGATTGGACTGCCAGAGCTGGCTGATACGACGACCCATATCAGCTAATCGGTGAGTGTTTCTGAATATTATCCCATATAGTAATATTCACGAACATTATCAACCTTTATGATAATATTCTAAAAAACAAGTATCAAGGTTAATTACATGTAATGGGCTCACCCCGTTATACTGCGGATGTAACGAGGTTGCTCTGTCACATGTTACATAACACAAAGTAAATGTTAAGCATGAATAATGTGTGAAGAAAGACATTATATCCGCACAGTATTATGTCACCAGGTAATGATGTGATGCAGATGTTATGCACTGTTCACTATTTGATACAGGGCAATGGTACTAACCTATAAAGCTTAGCTACAACATAATTACGCAATGAGTGGCGAGCAGATGATTGCAATACATGCTTGTATACAATCATAGTTGAAATAAGACCGAATGGTACTTACAAAGGAGCGTAACTATACCAAACAAAATTCTACTTTTTTGCTCTTATCGTGTAATAACACTTACTTCTAGAACTTTTTGTACGTGAAGTTCAGAGGCACCTACTTAATCTGTGTCAGTGTAAGTAGCTTGTAATGTGACAGTACAGGCGATCAGTTCCATGTTACAGCAGAGCAGCTTAACGAATAAACGCCGGGTGACACGGGGCAGATCACGCAAGGTGCAAGTCTATCTAAGTTGGGAATTCGCTTGCACTTGGATAATCTGTCTGCATTGCCTTCTACTCTACTTTAGCTCCCACTTTCTATGCCTTCTCCTCCTACACTGCGTTCAAAATCTCTTGGTCAGTAAGCTCTGGCTGAGCACTCTCGTCTCCTGTAAAGACTTAGTCAGTCCATCAAAGAGATTCAGCCAAAAATCACTCCGTGTTCTTAACGAAGCACAACAACGTTAGCAAACGACCAGGATGGATAAGTGTCTCTGAGCTTGAGGCACAACCTGAACCAGTTCTACAGACAGAAGACGAGGACCTGAGTCGATAGTCTCCGGAGCTATTATTCTGCTGCTTTTGGCCAGATTTTAGTTTAGGGGTGAAAGAGGGGTGAGCGGTTCGGGATGGGGTTTTCACTTTTTGATCCTTCTATTATTAATTTTACTACAGCAGATGTGGCAATTATTTTTATGTTTATCTTGCTATACTGCAATATGTTTAGAGTATTTTCAACGGTTTAAACTTCATTTGTACGACACCACCAAAATCAAATAAAATTAACCTCTGCTAACTTATTTGAAATATGTCCATTGAGGTTAAAAGTTAGTAGAGGAAGACCTGTATGTGCAACTTTAATAGAATCAGGCTCGAAATTACGAAAGTGGTAATCCTGTCTTCCCCGCGCAGAGATTTGCACATGCAATGCTAAACTGACCGAAAGTACTAGATAAAGAAAGCAGCTTTGTTCCGTAAATAATGTTCTTTCTTGTCAAGCATGGAGTTGGTACAGTTTACGACTACGATTTCACTACCATCATCTTGCTTGCCCTGCACTCCTCGTCCGACCTGCGAGTCCGTTGGGTGTAAGGATGTTATGTCACTAAGCTACAGCAACAACATCGATATGCATACTTCATTTGAAGCTTACAGCAAATGAGCTTAACATGTAGCTTAGCTGAAATGCTTCTGAGATCCGTGTTAACATGTAGCCGACCTCTTCAATGCGCAGACTCATACTACGTCACACCACGAGTCGGTGCAGATAGGTTGTACCGCAATGCAGACACATAACAATTTTGAAGGTTGTGAAATATCGACCGTCGCTTTGTTCACCGCTTTGCTTGATGCAATCAGGTTCTTTATCGATTAAGTGTGGGAGAGGATTAAGTGTGGGAGGTCAGCTTTCCCTGCCTTAATGTCCTCAAAACTATTGCTCTAAATTGCCAGATGCCAACTTTACAATAATCATTTAGTGACACGATTGCTACACTTTCATGAACTGGGTAAGCTCTTCACTGGAATTAGCAGGCTCGCTGCTTGAGTCCGTTGACCAACAGGCAGCTCTCACGCTAGCGGGTAAGTAAGCTCGATAGCTTCCACACCTCCCGCATCTCTTGTTGACGTTTGTTCTGCTGATGTTACGCAGGGGAAGAGGAGGAGGATGGAGAAGAAGAACAAAGCATGAGGCCGCTGACTATTCTGCGAGTTCGTCAACCGTCCGAAGATGATGCATTGAGTACAGAAGAGACGAGACATAGCAACCGATCTGAGATGGAGGAAGCATTAGCGATGATGGTAGGCTGAAGTCTAATGGAGGTTATTTATCCAGACTCAGCAGATTTCTAATGGTGTGTAGGTACAGGGTAGCGCATCCAGCTCGAGTTGCACGACCACAGATGCTGGATTGCACACAGACATGATACCTCTTGGATCGACATCAGGAAGTAAATTGACTGGAGTCGGGGGTACAGGTTCAATTCAGGTGGAGAATGTATCATCTGGAAGTGGTAAGGAAGCCCCTCTCAGTAATAGCAGCATGCATTCCAGCACAATGGACGGAGAAAACGATCGATTGTATAAGGAGCTCGAGAGAGTAAAAAGAGAGCTGCGTGTGAAAGAGAAGAAACTGAGCAGTATGCACAGAAGCATGCGGATTTGCGAAAATGAGCTGGTTGCACTGGAAGAGGAGTGCAAAGAAAAGATTTTGCGAGTGCAGCACGAGGTGAGTACATCAATGTATTGTCCGTACACCGCGTACGTACTGATCTGCCTTATTACAACCAGTTGTCAGTCGTTCAGCAGGACAAGAACTTAAATGAGGAGGAGTTTGTCCGAGCCCTCGAGATGAAGGACAATCAAGTGCGTGCGATGAAAGCTGATATAGATGCTCTCTCTGAGGCGAATGCAAAGCACACAGGTGAGGTCGCTTCCCTCAAGGCAGAACTTGTGAATGCAGTTGAGTCGAAAGACACATTGTGGACTTCGGCTGCATCAGCGAGCAACGAATCCGAGCAGCTGATCCAGTCCCTTCGCTCTGAGCTGCAGGACACACTGGCAGCGATGAACACACTGAGGCGCGAGCACACCGAGTCCAAAAACGCGATGTATTCGCGCCAGTCGCAGCTGGAAAGCGTCAACACCGAGCTCATGAACAATGTGGCCAGTTTGGAGCGTGAGCTGGCGAAGGCGAGGGCAGCCCCTTCTGCTGGTTCTCAAACAAGATCTATAGACGGTGCTAGTGTGACTACCGTCTCTAGTTCAGCACCGTTTGGTGCGAATGCGATCAATGACGACTACCGACGGGTGCAACAGACGCTGATTGTAACGAAGAAGTTGTTGCATGACAAGTCAAGAACGAACGAGATTCAGAAACAGGAAATCGTCGCACTGACTGATGAAGTCCATCGACTGGAGCAAGTTATTGCGACTGCAGAGGAGCGCTCGACACGAAAGCTCGATGTAGTGTCCATTGAGAACGAGATATTGAGGGAGCAAGTGGAGCGGCTAGCATCCCAGAACAATGTTGCCATGGCTGCAAGTGACGAGCAACGCATTCAGCGATTGACGAACAGATTGATCGAAAAGCAGGAGACGATTGACTCGTTGCGTAGCCGTGTAACGACAATGGACGTCCGTTTCCAGGATATGCAGTTGCAAGTACAGCAAGCTAAAGAGCAGCTTGCTCGGGTGGTGCAACACGGTGGCATTGATGACGTGGAAATGGCGACCTCTATCGGAAAGACTGATAGAAATGGCATGCGGTCACGGCCAAACCGCATGGCCAACATGATCTCTCGCGTGGTTCCCGTGGTAGAGCGCAGCCATCGCGTTTTAACGGTACTAGACGTGCTCGACCGCTGGCTGCTCTTCCTCGGCCGAGTGTTTCTGCAGGCCCCATTCGCTCGCCTCGGAATGCTGTGCTACATCATGTTGATCCACTTGTGGGTGTTCATCGTTATAAGCTTTCACACGAGTCACCTGACCGAGGAGACGCAGCTCGCAAGCGCTGCTGAAAATGCCATTTTCAAGCCAGGAGAAGACCTCATTCCAGGGGCAGCTCACCAAATGAAGCAGTCAATTTGATTATGAGGTCCAAGCATGCATGGGGCACATCGTAAACACGCGAAACCACTTTGACGTACTTCACACGGGCTTACTTCACGCGCACTGGCTTTGTCCCGACCAGTTCAACAGCCGTACCACCAGCCCTAGGAGCGGTTACATCAATTCAGTACGTCATACGGTTTCTAAGTCACATACACCTAGCCCCGTATAGGCTATGTCGAGGTTTTGTGGCAGTAGACCCATCCAGTCAGAACTAACCCCGTCACTCATCAAAATTCCAGCTATGTGTCCGACTCCAAAAGCGCCCCTGCCTGCTGCCAGCGAAGACTTCTCCAGCTCGACATCTTCCGGGGGCTGTAACACAAAGACCACACAAAAGGAGCTTGCGTGGCTGCAGCGCTGTCTGCCCATCTTCGTTCAGCCGGACGTGGACATCAAGAATCGCAACGATTTGGTCAAAACGTTTTTCCGCTTCGAGCGCGACGACGAGACTGGTCACCTCTTGTGCAAGCTCTGCATTGTATTTGCAAGTGAGTCGAGCTACAACCGCACGAAAGAGGAGGTTGAGAACTCGCTCGCTACGCTATGTTACCGCACCTTCAACCGACGAACGTACAAGCGCACAGCTGACATCAACTACATGGAATTCCGGTACGTCTAACTTACATGGTTGCCGAAAGAAGTGCCTTATCGTGGATACTGAACGTACCATTCATCGTTATGTTTCCCTTTTTTCGTATGCAGAAATGTCGATTTGGACCCCGACGCTTGTGTACCGTGGGCTACCATCTACTCGCAGGATCACGGGGGCAAGCAGCAGTGGGCACAGGGGGAGAAGAAGAACATTGGTAACTGGTTCTCACTCATGCATCACTATCAAGCGGAGATTGCGGTTTCAGACTGGAAATTGCATCCACAGACTCACCGTCCGTATGTGTACCTCAATACTTGCAACCACATGATCGGCGAGAAGGACAACAATCCGAAGCTTAGCAAGTTCAACTGGATTGACTACCCGTTTCAGCAGGGTCATGAAGATGATGTCCTCAGCTATGTCGTGGACCACGTACCTACCAAGTGCAATCTCTATTCGTACGTTTGCTTTTGGCGAGCACGCAACGGTGGTGGTGTGTGTGATCGCTTCCCAGGAGGCACGTCCGTGTCACGTGATGGCAAGTCTATTTACTTGCAGTATGCGTCTACTACTCCGGGTGCATAATGCCATACAGCTACGCCGTCTGGTGAAGATGCATGTTGTAGAATACCGTGCGTTAGCTACTAGAACGAAAGGATAGAAGAGATGATTTTCATATACCAGGGTATCCGTGCACTCAACGCTACCATAATCGCTATAGCGGCGACTGCGAGAGTCGCACGGCCGTTCCGTGACCGATCCATCGTATCCCTCAGTGATCAATTAGCAACGTCATGCACTCGTTTTGAAGATCGACACCGCACTCTGTGCAGTCACAGTCATAGCATCGCGTTCGTACGTGTAAAAGATGCTGTCAGTCGAACTGTTGGCGCAATGCCATCTCCGTCTCTGACTTCCAGCTTCGGAAATCCGGACCGATACCTGCCTGGCCTTTTACTCGTTGGTTTTTCACTCGCTCCTTGGCATCTTTCTTCCCACGCGTCACAAATGGCTCTCGAGTCGCAGGTTCCTCCGTTGGCCGAAGCCGTTTCCGGTCGTTCCTGCCTCGATCTGCGACGCACTCGATCTCTTCTTGCCCCCACTGCTGACGCTCCTCCTTTTTCTCTTGCAGTTGACACCTTGGACGCTGCTCAGCCGTCAAATCGAACGACTCGACACTGCTCTGGAGCTTGACACAGCGATTCGGTGGCAGGAAAGAGGCTGTGGACGCGGACACTGCGGACAAGACGCTGTCTGCTGACGGCAACCGTTGCGTGACGGGCTTCTTCTCTTGATCTGCATCGTCTCCCACTTGTGTCTTCCTTTCGCGGATCCCTGTGCTCGTTTCTCCCTCGCTCTCGCTCTCGCTGCTGCTGCTGCTGCTCGCATAGTCGTCTCCCAGCAAGTAGGACATTTCAACTCGGACACGTACGTAGCCATGTCGAATTCTAGACCGTTAGAAAAAGAGACCACAGTACGTTTTTTTTCGATCCAAGTGCAGTACTAGTAGGTCCTTCGCGATGCAGGATGCAAGTGCTACCAAGTCATGGCTTAAGCGCGAGCTCACGAGTGTTTTGGGCTTTGGAGAAGTGGATGAGATCGTGGCTTACGTGACGAACACCTTTCACTCAAAACTTGAGGCATCCAAGTACCTTATTGAGCTGCTGGGCGTTCCGGCGGCGCGGGCGGAGCACATCAGCACCCGGCTCTTCTCGACTGAGCCGTCGCCCGGAGCAAAAGCTGCCACTGCTACTGCTCCAGCAGGAGATCACCCGAAAGACGGACTGGTGCCTCGACCCACAGCAGTAAACTCGCGCCTGAAGTCCAGCAAGAAATTGAAAAAGAACACGGGTGCGACAGCGCAACTGCTGAACAACGCGCTCATTATCAACTGTTTGCGGTGTGGCAGGATCGAGTATAATGGAGGACGCCGCTGCGTCTTTTGCGACTCGGAGCTCCACTACGAGGCAGACGCAGCCATGTCAGATCACGGTGCTCAGCAGCACATGGAGGAGCTCGTGCAGCTCGACGAGACGGGCGCTGAGCGCACACGTGTGCTGGACGCTGAGCAGTTTTTTTACGACGAAGATCAAGTTGGGGAGCAAGACTACGACGACACTCGCAGCACCAATGCCAAGCGGCCTATCACTATGGCGCTGGATTTGGACAAAAACCAGTTTGCCGACGTCAGGATCGCACGCAACGAGCAGCTCACGAAGCACGAGAGCGAGCTCGTGGATCGTGTCCAGCGGAAGATGAGCAAAGGCAAGCGTGGCAACGGCCGCAGCCACTCGTTGACGGAAGTGTCACCGGCTTCCAGTGGCAGCATCCGTCGTGAGCCGGTTGGGGTAGTCGACGACTCGTACAACCTGCTCTATGTGTAACAACAAGCCAGACCCGGTAGATCGTTTTGCACGAATCCGTTGGCAACCAAAAGTCATTGGCCACCAGTGCCGGACTGCTCCTTGTCGCATGGGGAGCTAACGCCAGCTGCAGGTTTGGACATGATGCTGTCCGCACGTTCGTCCCCCAAAACCAGGCGTCCGTTTTGACGTACTTTAGTCGCACGCTTTATGGGACGAACGGTCACTGGCTCCGTGCGTCTGCGTGAGACACGTTGCAACTATGCAGTTTCTTTCGTTCGTCGCCGACTTGAAATTTGAGCGAGTGGCGGTCATTTGTGGTTTTGCCGCCGCCGCCGCGTCCTTTGCCTCCCCGCGCCCGAGCGGCCGCGGTCGTTGATTCCAGCCACAGCTTCGCCATGTCGACAACGGTCAGCGTCGAAGGACTGAGTGCATTGCAACGCCGCGTGGCCGCGTCCTCTAGCCCCGGTACAGCGCCCGTGAACCCGCTCTGGGACTTTTACGCCTGCGGCCTCGTGGACGAGAACGACGATGGCTCTGGCGGCGAAGACACGGAAGACGAGCTGGAGACTGAAGCTTGGATTCTGTTCCAGCGCCAACGCGCACAGACGCGTCTCGCCAACGCGTGCCAGCACGAGGCTCGCGTCATGCGCGCTGCCAAGCACTGATCTCAACGACCACCACAAGCGCTATGCGACCCGGTACATCCAACCAAAGCGGCCAGTACCGTCCGTCACCCGACGACTCGCGTCCCCATGCGCGTGATCTCTCCTGGACTGTACGATTATTTACGACGAATAGAGTAGTGGGACCCGTGCGCTGACCTGTGGTCACGCGCCACACGCATTGTTCGTCTCCCTCTCTCTCTCTTTCTCTTCTATTGATCCTACAGTTACTCGAAGTGTTGCTTCATGTCCATCGTGTGTGTTGCTGCTCCCGATGGCACTACCCTCGGTCTCATTAGACCTTGCATCGCATGTTCACCACGACGTCCACATCTGCATAAGCCGTTTCAGAGTCAGCGCGGCTCGCTTCAGTTTCGGACCACGACGTGTTGTCAATACCGTTTGGGACGCTGCGCCTGGTCGGATCGAGGTTGACACCAACGCGAGCGATCCAGTCAGCCAGCCACTACTGTCCTTTGTATCACGGCATCCTCGTGCCAACGTAGGTAGGATATGCAGCGTCCACGCAGACTTCCACTCTCTTGTCTAGTCAAGCAGCTGCAAGTAATCATGCTCCGGCTGGCACACAAGCACGCAGCATGGACAGTGTATCCACATTGACGCTCGCTCTCGTATCACGACCAACCACGTTGTGTGTGGACGTAAACTATCGAGTGGACAGAAGTGACGTCTCGCTGCATCTTGCCCCACGACGCATCTGATTCCAGTCTCTTATTTCTGACGCAAGGGCCGAGTTGATTGGCTCACGGACGACCTTTAGACTGCGACAGGGATTCAAGATGACACCCACCGTCTTGTCACGCGTCCGCTCGAGCTCCGCTGTCTATGGGACCGTGGACTCGGGACTGCTCGCCGCGTCGCAGCAAGTCCCGTCGTCCGCCTATCTCTTTAAGTTTCTGGTGCTCACTCAAGTGTTCATGTACCTCGAAGCGGGCGCTGTGCCCTCGCTACTGCAGCAGTTTACGCTCACTTTTCGTCTGAGTCCACAGGAGCAGGGGGTCCTTGGAGCTGTTGTCTATATCTCCATCTCACTCGCGTCTCCATGGTGCAGCACACTCTTTCGCCGCTTCGATCCACGCCAGCTCCTCGGTGTCTCGCTCGTGGTCAATAACCTCGCTGTGCTGGGCTTTGCGTGCGCCCCTACTACAGCCTGGTACTCCAAGCTACTCCTCATTTCGCTGCGTGGCTTCATCGGCTTGTCTCAAGCGTTCAGCTGTGTGTACTCGCCGCTGTGGGTTCACGACTACGCACCGAAGGCCAAGCGTGGTGCCTGGATGAGTTACCTGCAAGGTGCAGTGCCCGTTGGCATTACGCTAGGCTACTTTGCCGGTTCCGTTGCTATTTGGTCAGCTTCACTGGGATCAGAAGCGGATACGGCATCAGGGCACGGTATCTTATCCACTCTGTCAGAAATAGTGCTGGCAGTCAAGACAAGCAAACCTACTGACATTGTCGACGGCATGGACGATGCAGCCAAGAGGTTGTGCTACGGTATCTACTGCTGGCGCTGGCCATTTCTCACGCAATTTGCGCTTATTCTCCCGCTCTGTATCATGATTTTTCTTGTGCCTCGGGAGCATGTTCGACTCCGCTCGACTCGTCGTCACTCTTTTGTGATTGTGGATGCTGAAGAGGACGGAGATACAACTTTTGAGCAAAACACGACGTATGGTGATGACATGCGTGTTTTGATCAGTCACCAGAGAAATGGCAACACCTCGAATAGCTACTGTTCGCGATCATCGGAGTCGCACGAACAAGACGAAAAGTCGTCGAGATGGAGCGATTTGCGGCTGCTGCTTCAGCAGAAAGTATACGTGTACATTGTCATGGGACTGTCGGGTTTATTTTTTGTGGTCGCGGGCATCCAGTTCTGGACGACGCTATACTTGGAGACCAATACGAAGGACTCGATATACGAGATTCACGTGGCGTACTTATTGGTAAGCGGCACTGGACCCATCACGGGTGTCTTCTTTGGCGGTTGGCTGATCGATCAGTTCGGTGGCTACTCAGGCCCATACCATCAGAAGCAAGCACTGCGCGTATGCATGGTACTTGGAGGTGTTGGCTGCCTTGTGGCTTTACCTGTGTCATTTGTCCACACTACCTTCTACATCGCGGTATTCCTATGGCTGATGCTGTTCTGTGGGGGTAGCATTCTTCCAGCCTGCTCCGGCATTGTCATATCGGCAGCCCCACGGCGATTGCGTCCACTAGCATCCTCAGTTGCTTATGCCAGCTACAATCTCTTTGGGTATGCAGCGTCGAACTACATCCCAGGCTTGATCATGGACTTCATCATCAATCCGGTGGTAGACGTGGATGCCGGTGCCGGTGGTCTTGCAAGTGTTGACTCGTGCAATGCTGCCTGTACATACCGCGTTGGATTCCGAATTGTTCTACTGTGGAGTTTCTGCGCCTTCTTTTGCCTTACTTGTGGCTTTGTCGAGTCGGGCCGGAACTACATTGCAACAGCCCCTGCACATTAGAATGGACAAGATAGCGGAAAGCAGCTCCGACCGGTTTTGTGTAATAGTAATTTTTATGGGGCCTCGAGCGAAGGGAGATTCAACAGGGGTCTTGACAGAAGACGGACACCTTGCGCGAGCAGTCTCGCGTCTATTTAGAATCGCAAGTTGCGTGTTAGTTCATCTTGCCTCCATTGCGCTCAGGCTACTTTGTCATCATTCGCTGGAGCCGCGGGGCCTTTCGCAGTAGTGTGTTCAGCATCGTACCCACGAAGAAAGCGACGACAGTCGATGTCATTGTTATCACGTTGTACGGCATGCTGAAGTCAGGCGTTGAGAGCGGCACGAGCAAGGGCTCTGTGAACAATATGGTGGTGGAGGATGGAAATCCGACGTTCTTGCCACAGACCGAGTCATCCGAGTCATTTTCTGACGCACTGAAGGTCGCTACACCGGGGGCAATATCGAAACCCCTGTTGGCATCGGGTGGATGCTTCGACAGATACAAGAATGCTTTCTCCATCCGAAGTGAGAACACAATCATCGTATTGGCTGGGAGGAAAGCAACGATACGCAACTGGTTGGGTCGATTCCGCAACTCGGCCGGCACGAAGTCAAACGCTCGAATCAGCTCTTGCGCCTTCGACTCACTCCCACCGATAGTCGCCCGAAAGGTGTGGAAATAGAGACGAAGGTACCATGGGATAACATCATGGTACGTCACAAGCATGCCACGTGACGGGTGGTTATTCTTGAGCTGCACGGCGATGCCACCATGCACCTGGCCGTACCCGGTGACGAATCGATGTACCGACACCACATCCTGTTGCGTGATGACGCTGTTTTGCAAAGAGGCTTCTTCTTGTACAGCAGTTTTCCAGTCGTCAAACCACGGGCTGGAAAGCAGCACGGGTTTTTCGCGAAGATCTGTAACTTCAATAATAAACGACGGTTCCTTGTCCTTTGTGTCTTCCGTAAGAATAACGCTCTTGTCGGCAAGAGGACATGCGCGAACTTCAGCACCGACCTGCTCTGTTCCGAAGAACAACGAGCCAAGACTCCAATGCTCGCTATTATGCGGACTGGGATTTAGCACGGTCGTGAGATGCTGTCGAAGGGTCCACGTGCCGTCCTGCGATCTCGCAGCAAATAGTGACAGCGACAAGTACTCCCCAGACAGCACGTTAATCGGATCAATCATTGATCCGAGTCCAGCGATTGCTCGACACGGCAGCATCTTAAGCCACGGCGTCAAGTTCTCCGTGCAGAGCTCCTCACGTGCGAGCGAGCCGTGCAGAAAGGTGTGATCCGGGTCAGCACTGGCCAAGGAGAAGGCGCCGAGTTCAAGCGGACTGGAGGATGGCAGCAATCCCGTCACCACCGTCTCGTCCATCTGGTTTAGCGATGCCGAGAAGATGCCGCCCAATTGGGACGTGATCCCTTTCCAGCGCTGTGAAATGCTGGCATTGCCACGCAGTGTTGCCTGGAGCCGCGTACCAAAAGGAACGTGGACAAAGTCAGAGCCATTACTGCTGTGGAAGGATCCATAGCGCCACTCCACGTATCGTCCGACAGCGAACGAGAGGTGCAGAGACTCGACGTCGTATTTCTCAAGGATCTGACGCAAGACGGTGGGGACAAGCGGCGCGCCACTGGAGGGACGCGAAGTCTCATTAATGGAGGACTCTAGACGGACAAGGACATGGTTGATGGCAGGGAGAGGGCGCAACGTGAGCTGCTCTGTGAACGCTCCGTGCGCTGCTTGAAACCTCGAGAGTAGCCATAGTGCGAAGAGTAACATTACGTAAATGGTCGATCGACGAGCGATTTGCCGCAACGTAAGTGATTTCAAGTTGCAGCAGCTATTCCAGGTCGGAGGGGTGGTCGATTGGAGATAATTACACGAGGCAATAATTCTGCCCGAAATTTAGGGGCGAGGCGACTCCGAACTTTGAATTTTGCAACTCCGAATTGCAAACGCGTCAGACGTTTTTACGGGCAGGCTATTAGATTACACGTTAAATTTAGGGAAATGCTAATTACCCCCCAGGTTTTCGTTAACCACCCCCGCGTCTATATATTACCGTAATTTATTCGATTTGAGCCTTCTACTTGGTAAGATTAAGAAATCACCGATCCCACAAGTAATTTACAATCTCGTTTACAAACGATAAAATACTAGTTGAATGTTAGTTCGCATGTCACTAAGCGGGCGACGTGTGGTAATTTATTATTCAGCGACTTCCTTCACAAAACACTACAACCCGATTAACAACAATTTGCTGCGACTGACGGTGAGGAAACTATTCGACATGAGTAAAGTACACTTAACTGTTTTATTGCAAATCGCTCACATTTAAGGGCTAGTGAGTAGTTAACGAAACCTTGTGGGTGGTGTAATTCTGCCGACCTACCTTTTGGACAAAATGCGACCCACTCACTCGTTGCTTGCATAGTAAAGTGTTGGATATACACTTCTCGTATTCTACACCTCATCAGCGATCCTAGACGACAAAGTATGTTACTCTATTGACATAACGTGTATCTCACTAAAAGCTTTTGCAATCATTACGCCGTCCAGTCACACACCAGAGCACCGCCTTAAACTTTTTATATGGAGAACTAAATAAGCAGCCCGCAAATGCTTTTATCCCTTTAAGACAACGCTTTCATTATTCATGACACGTTCACTGGAATCTTGCAATAGCTTCGTCTTGCTCTCCCCTTCTACGTGCTGGAATATAAAGACATGCCATCGGAATGTGATAAATTTGAACATTTGCAATAGAACCAGGTTAGTGTACTTTTCGAATAGTGTCCACACCGTCGGTTGCCGCCATTCCGTAATACTCGGGTTAAAGTGTGTTGCGAAGGTAGTAGCTGAATAATAAATTACCACACTTCGCCGACTTAGTGACGCGCGTGCTCATTTTTAAATCTAGTATTTTATCATTTATGATCAAGATTATAAATTACTTCTGGAGTGGTAATTTCTTAGTCTTACCGATCAGAAGGAGTAAAATGCATAAATTACCGTAATATATAGGGTGGAGAGTGAATCAATATAATCTGGGGGGGGGTGGAAGGTTCCCTAAATTTATCTTTATTGTGATGCATATATAGAATGTCAGAGGTGCGCGAATCAAAGCGATTCTTTGACTAGATCTAGTTCCCTGTATTTCACCCTTTAGCCTAGCGTTTTATGAACACATGGTGTAGCTGACCACAGGATTCATTTGTTGTCATCCGTTGCTCTAAAATGTCGACAAACGGTACAGACGGTGCTTGCTATGATCTAGAGCATACTGTAAGATAGGGGAGAAAGCTCCGGAGCTCGCCCCTTGATGTAGGTAATCCAGTTCGGAGAACTGAATCAAGTTTCAAAACACTACACAATAGCAGCAGTCACTGAAAAAGGGAAATGATGCTGCGAATGTCTATATTAACCCGGAAGTATACTCATGCAACGCGATCAGCCTTGCTTATGAGCGTCCATCCAGTGTTTACTTGCGTGATAAAATTCACCTTTGGTCGATTTTAAGCCTATCACGTGCGTGCGTCACTATAGTGACATATCCAAAGAGCGACGTTGAATATACCTGTATACCGATGAGAAAGGGACAAGCTTAATTGCACTTCGTACGTGTAAGGTACACCTAACCGCGTTATTTACAGACACACACAGACAAGTACGATTTACAAATTCATCATTTAACCTTGCGCGCACTCACTAAAAGCTACACCCTTCGGGATCGCAACGGAGCACTACTCCCGTTTACACTGGAAAATACCGATCAGAAGATATAAGCGTCTACTGGCGACTCTAACCAAATATTCAGCCACAAAACTGAAGACACATGAAGACAAAATCATGATAGAGACTGCGAGTAGTTTATAATGAAATGGAAAAGCTTGATTCCCAAATTGAACACCCCACTGGCAACAAATTGCAACTGACTTTGAATTCGGCGTATCTACAATCCTTTTCGAAAGAACATAGTTAGGCACGTTCGAAGAATTTTGGGTCGTCGTGGAGAGATGGACAATTTCACATGGATTCGCAGCGAGCAAAAACAAGTACGCACTCGAGAAGACCGGTGATTTGAACTACGACTACAAATGTGCCATGGATGCAGGTACAAAAGTGCAAAAAGTGTTGAAGTTCCTGTGCGCAAGGTAACATCCCAGCTCACTGGGTGCAATTGAAAAACCCAAATCTGGCGTGAGTCAGCAAGTACACCGTGAAGCTTGTCCAGGTCGCTTAAAACCATGAAGCAGCGGCTGGTGCACGATTGTATCCTGTGTGTCACAGGGTAGCCCGTTACATGATATTGACACCAAACGGTGTCAATAGTGAGATTGTCTAGCGTGACAATCTTCTGCCAATATTATCCGAGATAGATAATATTGGAAGAATATTATCCCGCTGTAGGATAATAATCATGCGCTGCTCCAAGATCGGTTGATATAAGACATATCCATTAAGGTTACCACCAATCGCTGCTAGAAGAGCGCAATGGGTGGTGAGCAGGTTGTCGTCACACGACAAAGTAGTTTGATAAAGTTCGATAAAGACTGAAGTTATGTTGATTGCTTAACTATTTTTAATACAGTTCTCTTTATACCTTTCACTAAAACTAGCTGTTTGAGTAGATTAGCTTCCTCTGCACGTACGAGTGTACGTGAAGTTTCATGGAACCCCAAACAAAGAGTTACACGTTGCACCTGGTAGCACTTAGTAGTCCGTCCAACGACTTCTTAGTGTCCGTTTAACATGAACATGTTCGACGTTGAAGACGACATATTTAACTTCACACGTGAAGGCTACTCCCATCTGAGTGACTCAAAATGGGAGGTAGTCGGCCGCATGAGTGTGCTCATGGGCGAACCCGCCATCAGTGGCATGTTGGGGTCTCTAAGCAGAGACCTTCAACACGCCGCTATCAAAAAGTTCCTACAAAGAAAACTTGCTGTCGAAAGACAGAAGATAGTCTTGCTACAACAGCAAGGCTCTCACCAGTCGATGGGCGGGCCCACGCTCACGTTTCGACCCGAAACCTTGAAGATAGATTCTCAAGGTACAAGGGAATTGATGAGATTCCCTTTTTTGAGGTTTCGTCAAGTTGGACGACGCCACCAGGGCCCGTCACATCGAGGGTGACAAGATGCAAGTGACCTTCGCCCTGTCAAATTTGACAGGACGAGCAAAGACTTGGGTCTTAGGGCTCAAGCTCACAAACCGAATTTGTTTGACTCGTAAAGGACCTAAAAGTCTTGGCTCGAAGAAACGTTGGAGCCGCCACTAGCAGAGTCAGTAGCTCGCTCTGCACTCCTAAGGATCAAGCAAGGTAAGCGTGATGTGCACGCTTTTTCACAACACCTACGATACCTTGCGAGTAGCGTCACGGAATACTCTGTTGATGCACTTATCAACGTGTTTATCTACGACCTTGTAGATAGACCGGTCAAGACCTACATGTTTCAAGAGGACTTGCATACGCTGGAAAAGGCGATGGAGTAAGCGGAACAAGAAGAATTTAGCCTGAGCCAGTATCAGACTAGCTCGTCAAAATATCGTCCGACGAGATGACAGGAAACAGGAAATCCAGAACCAATGGACCTCTGTTACATCGAGAGCGAGAACTCTCGCTCTCTGAGTCACAAGAGAACGGCAAGATGCCATCGCTGTCAGAAGATTGGACACTACGCTCATGAGTGTAGTGTACCAAGCACCGCATCACGTCCAAAGACAGGACGTGATGACCGCCGTTGGCCGAGGAAAGGTCTAAGGCGCGGGTCCGACCATTTCGCGAAACTGCGACAGCAAGTCGGAACGCCAAAAAACGGTCAGGGTCACTAGGGGTGGAGCACCCCGCTGATTCAGCAACGTCAACAGAATTTGCAGGACTCTTGACGAAGATTGCTCCCAACAAAAAGTCGCTGTGTGTTACTGCCCCTAGTGATGAGGTGTCACTCATCACTTTGAAGATAAAAGTGGCAAGTGGAATTTCACTTCGTGCTCTAGTTGACTGTGGGGCATCGAACAGTTTTATTCGACGCCACTTGCTAGAAGATAGTAGAGTCAACTATGTTGAGCAAGAGTTCCCTCCAACGAGGATGACTGTGCCTTGCTACAGACGCATTCGTAATAGTGAAAGAATGTATAGTGGGAATCCACTACACGCTTGAAAGGAAAGTAGTACGATGATGACTTCATCGTACTGGATTTGGATGACAAATTTGATGTCATCCTCGGTCTGCCATGGATTAGAAAATACCAGCCTTAGATCAGCTGGCAGCATCGATCCGTGAAGATGCCTGCCGTTTTGTTCATCAGATGGCCATCTGATGAACGTCTTGGAGCGTCCACAAGCACATGTATGTACTGGGAGTGAATGCGATGGCCTCACTTGTGGTACGGTTGCTAGTACGACTGCACAAGATCACAGTGTAGAAGGCCACTACACTGTGGATCCAGCTTCCGACACCTGTGTAAAGACACGGGCTGCGCCGAAGGTTCACCACTCGAAAAGATCGAGTAGACTGGAACACGGATAAACACCAAGAAGTGTGCATCCAAGAAGAGACATTAGTGTTGTTCAGGATGAACAGCACGTTGAAGCGAGATCGACTAACAAAGAGTCGATCGCAAAGCAAACATGGTCGACAGAAAGAGAGTCAAGCGAAGAGGACGTGACTGTGGTAGTGCACCCACACTCATAACATGCATTGGAAGAAAGATCAAGCGTTCCTGAGAGTGATAACTCCCGAGAGAGTTATGTTGAGGGTGTGTTTTATAAC